GGTAAAAGATATACACGGTTGTACTCAAGCTTTGTGCTTGTTATGTTGATTTTGGAAGGAGGATATAGCTTATTCTTATCTGCTGAAAGATAAAGGATGCTCTTTTGGGGGGGTTTATGCTTTTATTTTCATGGGTCGTGCTTTTATATACTGCTTTATGAAAATTGCAGGCCCTAGACCTTTGTTTTCTGCATACTGGTAAATTTTTCTTAAGTAAAATTTTTCTTAGTACTTCACCTCAATCAGGGAAGTAAACTGGTAATGATTAGGCTACTTGCTTTTTGGATTGATTTAAGATACACTAATATTGTGGCATGGTTCATTATTATAAAAGAGTAACTGGTCTGAACAATGTAGATAGATACATTATGATTTATACTGGTGTATCAGAGGTTGTATCTTCCATGGGAATTGAAGTTTTAGACTTACTGCCTGAGTATCTGCTTGATAGGACTGTTACCATGCGTGATTGTATATTCTGTTTAAATTGTGACCAAACCTCTTTGATTATGAAGCTAAATGACTTTGGAATTTCAGAGTTCTTTGTGTGTTGTTAATTTTGTAATATTCAGGTTGATTTTTAGTTTCCTGTGTAGAGAACCTAGTGGAATGTGATTTTTTTCTTGCTAGGGTGCTTGTTAAGCTTGCCACTTTAATATTTGTTTTTCCATCAGCATCGACACTCCAGGAGTGATTAGTCGTGTGTCCCAGCTGTTCAAAGGCCACCCTGACTTGATCATGGGCTTCAATACCTTCTTGCCTCCTGGCTACAAGATTGAGGTGCAAACCAATGACATGGTGAATGTGACAACTCCTGGCCAGGTTCATCAGATTCCAACCCATGGCATCCAGCCCCAGCCTCAACCACCACCCCAACATCCTTCCCAGCCTTCAGCCCAGTCAGCCCCAGCTCCTGCCCAGCCAGCTCCTCAGCCCCCACCTGCCAAAGTCAGCAAGGTGAGCACTTGGAAAACTCTGCACCGTGTGAAATCCATCCCTAGAAAGCACCCTCCTTTGACATTTTCCCTTAGTATAAGACTTAGATAGATCACACAAGTTAAAATTTCATCAGAGGAGATGCAGTAGTCGCATCCCTGTAAAGTGGTTCACATTTACATACCACATATTTATGTATCTGTTTAAATCAACACATCAACAACCTACAAGGACTCTCTTGCCCCCAGCTTCTGCTTTTTGAACCATGAGCGTCCCAACAGATGGCAGCTTTGTGTAGTAGTACTTGGATAGCACAGGCAGAAATGGTCATCTTATGATCAGATTACACTGTTTTCCGCACGGTCATCATTTTACAAAAGTTACTCCATTTACCAGATTAGGTCGTATCAAGCTAAGCAGAAGATCTTGTTGATGACGATGATGATGGGGTGTTCTTAGTCTAGAAATGTATTGATACCGTAGTCATTAATCACATATGTCTATATTTAAATTTAAATTAATTAAAATAAATTTTGTTTTTCGGTTGCACCAGCTACATTTCAAGTGCTCAGTAGCCTCGTGTGGCTAGTGGCTATTGTGCAGGATAGTGCAAATAAGGAACATTTCCATCACCTCAGAGTTTTCTGTTGGGCAGAGCTGGTTTAGAAGACTTTTTTTATGTGAAGTTAACTGCAACAATTGAATTCTCTTTTTTGATATTAAAGATCTATGTAGAATGAGGGTTTTTTTCCTATTCTATTTGCACCTGTTCAGCAAGTGAGCTTAAAAATTGCATATGAAAATTCTTCCTTGTAGTTGGAGACATAGCCCACTTTTAAGGTTGTGTTTAGAAAACTGGAGACTGGAACTTTTATATTAGAATGTGTGAACCCTCTACACTTTCCACCCCTACCCAGTGTGATTTGAGTTGGGCTAAAGTGGCCTGGCCAGAGTGAATAAAGTATTATATATGTTGATCAGACACCTTGTTTCTCTTCACTTTGACCTTTCTTTCATATGTTAAACCATCTGTGTTCCTGAGGAGAATAACGACTTTTTCCTTTTAGCCTTCCCAACTACAAGCACATACTCCAGCCAGTCAGCAGACTCCCCCACTCCCACCATATGCGTCCCCACGTTCTCCACCTGTCCAGCCTCATACACCAGTGACAATCTCGTTGGGAACAGCCCCGCCCTTGCAGAACAATCAACCTGTGGAGTTTAACCATGCCATCAACTATGTCAATAAGATCAAGAACAGGTTCCAGGGCCAACCAGACATCTACAAAGCGTTCCTGGAGATTTTGCACACATACCAGGTAAGACAGTTGCCCTTTCAACCTGTCTTAACCAGGTTGCTCTCCGGGGATGGCTAGTCCAAGAAGACTTGAATAACCATTATTGTGTCCACTGATTCTTACTGGAAATTAACCAGTTAGAAACTGTGATGTGTGTTTATAAAGCCAGTGTGATTTACCTGACTTTAATTGCCTTGTAGCAGCCGGTCAGGATTTTTAAAGTCACTGCTCTGTGAAATGAATGCTTATTTATCTGGAAAGTTTAAAGAATGATTTAGGTAATATAGTTAACCTACAATAGAAGGAGGAATTTCTCTAATACTTTGTGTTTTATCAGTTGGTAGTGGTCCCCTGAGCATTCACATATACTGCCCTGGTTTTCAAAAGGAATTGTCAGCCACCATCTTCCACTCCTTTCTCAACTACAAAGTTTGAAGCCAAAACAGGTGCTGAGAACATAGACTTTCCTCTTAAGTGCAGCCCAAATAGATAACATACAAAGCCCCTACCAGACATCTCAGAAAGTGTGCAAAAGTGAGTCACTCAAAACAGTGGCCTTCTAATATGATCTCTTCCCATTTGCAATTTCCCATCAGAAAGAGCAGCGGAATGCCAAGGAAGCTGGAGGAAACTACACTCCAGCGTTGACTGAGCAGGAGGTGTATGCCCAGGTGGCTCGCCTTTTTAAAAATCAGGAAGACCTGTTATCAGAGTTTGGACAGTTCCTACCAGATGCCAACAGCTCTGTGGTAAGTTTTATTTAGAACTACACTGTTGAGAATGGTTATCTTAGATAAGTTAGGAAGCTGGAATCAGGAGACTTTTTCTAAATGAAACTTACTTGCTTTAATAAGAGCATTCATCTCTTTCATGTGTCTTAATTAGCTTTTAAGCAAAACAACTGCTGAGAAGGTCGATTCTGTGAGAAATGACCATGGAGGCACTGTGAAGAAACCTCAACTGAACAACAAGCCGCAGAGGCCCAGCCAGAATGGCTGCCAGATCCGCAGGCACTCTGGAACGGGAGCCACCCCTCCAGTGAAGGTAAGAAGGGCACAGCTGCTCATTTTGACTTTGCGGGGCAATACTAGTGGACAGTGCTCAAGGGTTGACAGTTGGATCCTGGGTATTGGGAGTTAGTTGGTGTATGTCACAGAAACTCAATGCAAAGCTTTTTATCTGGCTTGTGAAGGAATGTTAGAATAGTGCTAATTGCTCAGATTACTGTACTTTTGAGTTCTTACTGGTTTTCTTTATATTTTCCCTCTTCTTTGCTGGTAGCTCGAATCTGTTTTTTTTGTTTCCTGCCAAGGATTTCTGAGACTTAATTAATTTTTCCTGCTTGTGCTAAGAAAGAAGATTTTTAAGTTTGATAATTGTTTCCTAAACAAGTCAGTAGTCTCTGAGGTCCTCTTGTGAAAAGCACATATGCTCTGTGGGATCTCTTTGGTCTAGAGGCCTATCCTGTCCATGGTTCTTTGTTGGGTTACCAGATCTTATCTGTATCATCTTAATCTCCAAGGAAGGACCTTTGGGCTGCAGCAGAGGGCAGGAGTCTTCAATTCCTGTTAGTGACCTATCACGTGATGTTTCTTGTTAGAGTAAACACTGATGGTCTGCCTACAGAAAGCTGAGCCCACTCCCTTCCTCTTTGACGTGGGGCAGCTGTGCTAGGGAGTGGGCTAGTTGTATGTATTGAATGTTGCTTCAGTGAATCCTAAAGCTGTATATAACGCTGAAGAGATGTGTTGGCAGAATTTAGTTAAAAAATAGCAAAAGCTAGTGGAATTTCTTATGGTAAGAAGTGACTGGTAAATAAACAGATGACCACAAAGACTGACCTGTTAGGTGTTGTTGACACTTTTGAAGTACTACTGAAGAACTATTTTTCAGTGTTTATAATGGTTTCTCCTTTTGAAAGCAAGTTGAACATAGTAATAGATTATATTTCTTCACTTTAGTAAGGAGTGTTACAGGAGTAGCAGGAATCAGGTCAGCAGATAGAGGCCAATGTTAGTCTCCTCCCACACTGGATTACCCACAGGTGGAAACCCTATATTGGGAGATTAGGATTCCCTATCTACCTTCTCCTTATGCAGTGTAAGCAGAGGCTATGGCTCCTAAGAGAGTGTACTGCAACGTGGCGAAGGTAAACGTGCTGCTTCTCCAAACATTTATGCATTTCTTCACAGGTAGTTGAGAGGTGGCTTTTTTAAAGTAAAATTTTTGCCTGGTAGTTACGTATGGCCAATGCATATGCTTTGAAAGAGCAATCTTAAGTTGGTCTGAGTGGATATTGCTCACAAGGTGGTTATTCCTCCTGTTAGGAAAATAAACTTTTTTTTTTTCATGAATTTTTAAATTGAACGATTAAAAGGTAAAGGTTAAAGATTGATTTCTGTGTATTCCAGCTATTTTTACAGCCTCTTCTGCCTCCACAGCTAGGAAGACAAGGCAATGGCGTTAGGTTCCAAATAAAGTTACTTTTGGCCCATGGAAAAAAGTGAGGATATTAATTCTAACGTCACAGTAATGCTGTGACCATTTATAGAGAGAGTATTTGGGAAGTAGAATGATCTGTGAACCTCTGGGAAAAAAACTGACAGGCAATTTAAAATAGAGAATCTAAAATAGAGGAGTGGAAATTTTTTAGGATGTAAAGCAAGTCAGTGGCTTGAATTCTCTCATTTGTTGCAAATTAGTAATCAGTGGTGGTCAGTGATGGAACCTTAGAACAGAGACGAAAATAAAATTCAGAGAGGGAATTCCCTGGTGGTCCAGTGGTTAGGACTCTGGTCTCTCACTGCCAGGGGCCCAGGTTCAATCCCTGGTTGGGGAACTAAGATCCCATAAAGCCAAGAGGCTCAGCCAAAAAAACAAAAAGAAGAAAATAAAACCCAGAGAAACCCATGCTTTGAATCTTACATTTTTGTGTTTTTCCTTTTTTGCAGAAGAAACCCAAACTGCTCAGCCTCAAGGATTCTTCTATGGCAGATGCCAGCAAACATGGTGTAGGAACGGAATCATTATTTTTTGATAAGGTGAGTAATGAGTGAATTGGATTTAAAATTAGCTACTAATGCCGAAAGAAAATCACCCTGTCCCCAAGAAGATTTTGTTTTAGAGGCATCAAGCTGATTAGGACTTTCTACTTTTTAATATAGTTTTCAAATTGTAGGTCCTTTCAGTCTATGAGAACTATTAGCACAGCTGGAGAAATGGTAGCATTGTTTGCTTCAGTTTTGTGAAGTAGCTACCACAAAATACAGCATTTGCTATGGTGAAAGAAAGCTTTAAAAGAAATGCATGATATTACTCTCAAAAGATATCTGGGGGCTTCCCTGGTGGCGCAGTGGTTGAGAGTCCGCCTGCCGATGCAGGGGACATGGGTTCGTGCCCTGGTCCGGGAAGATCCCACATGCCGCGGAGCGGCTGGGCCCGTGAGCCATGGCGGCTGAGTCTGCGCGTCCAGAGCCTGTGCTCCGCAACGGAAGAGGCCACAACAGTGAGAGGCCCGTGTACAGCAAAAAAAAAAAAAAAAAGATATCTGGAACTCCCTGCTGTAGCTATCCAGATCTGTATAGTGGGGAGTGTCAGTGCACCAATTGTTGAGGACTTAAGTTGACTTTTAACCTTCTGATTGCTTGTGATACTTATTTGTGGTATCGCATATTGGGTTCATGGGAATTCTGATTTAACTGTATGTTTGCAGAGCTCCCCAGGTGATTCTAATGAGCAGCCAGAGTTGAGATTACTGGTCTGAACGGTGTTGTGTGGTATGTGCCTGACTTCCTCCTTGGGGTCAACTTGATTAGCAGACTACTTTCATCATGGTAGCTGGCAAACATCAGACTTCTCACTGGCAGGAACCAGCCTGGATTGATCTGGTGGTGACTTAACCTGTCTTGCACCTCTGGGGTTTTTTTTTGTTTTTTTTTTTTGCGGTACGCGGGCCTCTCACTGTCGTGGCCTCTCCCGTTGTGGAGCACAGGCTCCGGATGCGCAGGCTCAGCGGCCATGGCTCGCGGGCCCAGCCGCTCCGCGGCATGTGGGATCTTCCCAGACCGGGGCACGAACCCATGTCCCCTGCATCGGCAGGCGGACTCTCAACCACTGTGCCACCAGGGAAGCCCCTCACCTCTGTGTTTTTGCAAAAGGGCAAATGATTTAGCATCTCCATGATTGGTGCCTCCCGATTGCTCTCTGCCTGTGTGAGCTGTGCTGCAAAACAGTTAAGCATCCCTGGCTCTGACTTGAACCATTTCTGAGGGCAGCCCGGTCATTGGTGCTTTTGAGACAAATGTAGAAGTCCAGGTCACAACCAACAAATGGTAAGGAAAGGGTGAGGGATGGGGGACCGAGTAAGTTAATTTTTAAAAGAGTGGTGGTATTTTTTTTGGTCATTTTTGAAGTACTTATTTCTTAGAGATACATACTGAAGTGTGTGTAGATGAAAAGTCTGGAGTTTGCTTTAAAATTCAGTGGTGGGGGAAATGGGCATAGATGAAACAAAATTTACTATGTATTGATCATTGCGGCTAGGTGAGTACGAGAGGTTCGTTAGACTATTCTGTCTGCTTTTGTATATGTTTACAAGTTAATAAAAATTAAAAGTAAATATTCGTCATTTGCTCTGAAGGTACACATTCGGTATAGTGTCCACTGATGGATCGTTATGAAAAGTATATGGGAGCCTGGAGAAGGGGTTTTTGATAAACTGCTTGGCTTGGTGTGAGGGTCTCCACCCCCCACAATACTAAGTACATATCTATATATGAAATTAAAGTCCAGATTGCTCATCTCGCCAGGCTAGTATTACTTTGTCTATGCCATTTTTTTAAGCATTTTGGATATTAAAATTCTCAATATTATAAATGGAGAAAGGAAAAGAATCAGGTCAGAGGACAAAAAGTACCTTATTTTAAAAGGTCATTATTCAAGATTACCAGAGTTCGAAAAGAGTGTTGTCAAAGATTCTTTCTGTACATACCTGTTAGGAGAGGCAATAAAAGCTTGGGTAACTCTGATATGGTCCAGAGAATCAGGCATGTGAGACGGTGAATGTCTTCTTTACTCCAGGATCTCTTTTTCAGAATTTTTATTATGGAAAACTTTAAACATGTAAAATTAAAGTGAACAGTAAAATGACTCCTCATGCCACCGCCATCTAACCTCAGCGGTTCTCAATTCCTACCCCGTGTACTTGTTTCATGTGTACTCTTATTTGGGGACAAATCTCAGATAATGTATTATTTCATCCATAAGTATTTTACTGTTTCCTTTTTAAATGATACCTTTTTTCAAGCATAAGCATTAACACATCTAAGAAAACCAACATTGATTCCTTAATATTGTCAAATACAGTTCAAATTTCCCCAGTCTTTTAAAAGCAATCCAGGATCTCTTGATTCCTTGCTTAATTATTTTTCTTTCGGCTGTCTCCATAAGGTCCGAAAGGCTCTGCGGAGTGCAGAGGCCTATGAAAATTTCCTGCGCTGTCTTGTTATCTTTAACCAGGAGGTGATCTCTCGGGCGGAGCTTGTGCAGTTAGTCTCTCCGTTCCTGGGGTAAGTGGAGTCAGGAGCTTAGCCCTGATGTGTGATATGGAGGTGAAATAAAACTTAGTTTGTGGGAGTATGTGATAGGCAAAATTAATTTGATTGTGGTGGGTCAGTTGACTCATAAAATGTCGGTGTCAAGAGAGTCCTCTGGGAAGTCTTCTAGTTCAACTTCGGAGATGAAAAAATAGGCAGAGAGGACATTGGCCAAGACTAGTGGTCTCCTGATCCCCTGACCAATGTTGGAGGTTTTATAGAGACCAATCTCTTCCAGGGTTCTAGAATCTTGACTTTGACAACCTAAGAATTATCTGAACATTGAAGCAATATTCCTGATTAGAAAATGGCTTGTTATTGCCTGGTACAGTTCTTCCATCACCACCTTAATTGGTCTTAGAGCACTTTATAAGAAAAGGAGAAGCCGGGTATTCAGAAGTACTGCTTCTTAGGCAGGAAATAATAATTGTCATTGGAATTTGTCCAATGGTAGTAGAGTTCTGAGCCAACACCAGATAGTGGTAGTCACACCTCAGGATTACTGCATCATGCTTCTAATTGCTCACCAATTTTTGGTTTGATTCTTCAGGAAATTCCCAGAATTGTTTAATTGGTTTAAAAACTTTCTGGGCTATAAGGAGTCTGTACATCTGGAAACCTTTCCAAAGGAACGAGCCACAGAGGGCATTGCCATGGAGATAGATTATGCCTCTTGTAAACGGTTGGGCTCCAGCTATCGAGCCCTGCCAAAGAGTTACCAGCAGCCCAAGTGTACAGGACGGACTCCTCTCTGTAAAGAGGTAAGACCTCCCTGAGAAAGGATCAGCCCTGAATCCGCAGCTTCCTCCAGAAGGGAGTGGTACCTGGGATGGAGAATTTACATGAATGAGGAAATCAAAATGCTTTTCTGTCTTTTTTCAAAAGAAAATGTTTTATACCTTTATTGAGAGCCTTTTTCTTACTATCTTTTTAAACTTGCTAAAGGTGAAAATTGTAATGTTAACTGTTTCTTCCCTCCCCTAAAGTGTTGTCTTTTTTTATTGAGAACGCTGAATCACCTGAAAACTTTGTTACACTTTTGTTTCAATTTCTCTTCTTTTACCCAAAGGTTTTAAATGATACCTGGGTTTCCTTCCCCTCCTGGTCTGAGGACTCCACCTTTGTTAGTTCCAAGAAAACTCAGTATGAAGAACATATCTATCGTTGTGAAGATGAACGTTTTGAGGTACAAGCTCCTTTATCATTTGAAATTTGGGGAAATGGGAGATTGGAACAAGAAGATATCTTAAATACCTACCTGGGAGGGTTGGTTTTTTAAGACAAAGGAGCAAGAGGCTCACGTTCTTCTGTGGTAAATGCTTATTGTATTTACCATGTTTTACGACTTTGTCAAATATATTAGTAATATTTTTATGACAAATGTTACTTACCCTTTGTAACTGAAATTATCCATTGATGGCTGAATAATACTCCTTTGAATTTTCAATAGCGTTTTAAAGGTTATTGTGTCTACATGGTATGTAAAATCAGTATCTTAAGACCTAGTGGGCTTTCTTGCAGCTGTTTTAAATTATTTATCTTAAAGTGTGTATTATTTTTAGCAGGTATCTTAAAATTGTTAGCAAACCAGCTCTTCTGTGAGAACTGGAACTCCTCTTTCATATTTCTGATATTGATTTGGCTCCATTTGAAAGAAAGTTGAGTTAGGGACTTTATTTTAAAGTAGTTGGGAAAGGAAGAGCTGGAGTGAAGAAATGAGCTGGTAGACAGCCCCAATACCAGGAGTGGGAGTACTGAAAATGGACTCAATTCTCAGTGTCTAGTTCACTGATAGCAACAAAAATGGAATGTTAACTGTGTCTTGAGAGGTAAAATTACGTGCATCCTATTTAATGTATTTATTATATAAAACCGACTGCCCCTGCTCATTCATATGGATGGGAGATATTTTGCTCCTTTTTTCATCCATACTGATTTAGCTCTCTGCCAGTTATCCCCCTTCACACTTGCTTCATCTGTTTCTGGCATGTTTTGAATGAAGAGCCCCATGTTGCTTGGCCACTGGCAGGTGGTTGGCCATCTCTGCCCCAGCGTTTATGAGGAGCTTCAACCATTTGCAGAAAACTCAATCGTGACAGATGTTAACTTCTGTAGAAAGTTTTATCAAGCTAAAGAAAGCATTTCTTTTTTACCTATGTTTAGTAAGTTTAGATGATGTGTGAGAAAGCAGAGACTGGCCTCTGTTTTTGACAGGATATTCCTATTCTTGACTAGTATGCCTGCA